AATCAAGGCAAAAGATAATTATTAAATTTCATAGCTACAATACATACAATTAAAAACAGGATCCTTATCTTAAAACTACGCCTGAGGAGATTTCTGTATCATAGAAAGCCTGGAGCCTATGAGCCCAGGATGGTGGCTGTCAAATGCAGTCAATTAGCTTGATTGGCAGAGTTGCTGTGAAGGAAGAAAGGGCAAGATTTAGAAATAGCATAATTTTAGATGAGTCAGTTTGCAGAAGGTTGTTGGCCTAAGGCATTAATCGTACCATCTAACATTATATATTCTGTGTAATCAGCAGTTATTCCACAACCCAGGACAAAGTAGAGATTCTAACTCTTATCATGAGCACCTTAGTTTAGTATTTTATCTATAGTAGCACCATCTGCTGGGAACAGGTAGACTTGATCACTTCCTGCTAGATTTGCTATATTTATTAAAAATAAGTTTATAAAAAATGATATTGTAGAAAGTTTGTTAAACATGCCTGGATATTTTGGTACATATTACATGCACCATAACATTCTACCCTGACTAGGATAACATTGCCAATTATATTTAAAGCTGATGAGATGCCCAGGAGCACTAACTTGCTTGAACTCCCTATGTACATTTTCCAGCACAAATCATTCACCAGGGGAGACAAGACTGTTTAAATCTAAACCGGGGTGGTCCAAATTTTCATAGCTTGAGGGCCTCATGAGGACTTCAACATGGAACCTGAGGGTTACACAATGAATTACATTTCCATGTTGTAAATTAAAGTTTTTGTAATATATTTATTTAATTTAATATACACAATATACTTAATTAACCATTAAATGTAGGAGAAAACCAATATGGGCTCTCAGAGTTAGCTTTTCTTTGCAGAGATCACAGGGAGTTCCTTCTCCAATCACAGCCCAAGTACAATAACTGCACCTCTGGGGTTGCCAATCCCTTTGTTCCCTGTTTTGCCCATCTGGAAACCTTCCTATGTGATCCCCCAGGCCCTCCTCCTTGAACCCATGAACTCTCTCCAGCATGCCCTGCTGACTCTTGCTCATGAGCACAAAAGAAGAGACTAGGGAATAGAATGGGTTGGCCCCAGCGCCTTATACAAGCTTGCCCCAGTATGCCCCTTGCTGCTTCAGCTGATGAGCTCAGCTCCTGCAAGACAGAAGTGGCCACAGTTGCATGTCTTCAGACCATCAGAAAGTTTAAGCATGAATGTATGACCTGCATCTCACCAGAGTTTGGGATTTTTCTTTTAAAGTCACGCATTCTATGATCACTTGTACCATTCTGCTACATGCATTTAAAATGTGCAAGTATGGAAACTGAATATCAGAAGAGCAGTTTTATTGCTATCTGTTGCAAGATATTTCATCCCAAGAGTTCCATGCTGCCATAGATGTTCCTTCCATGTTCTGAATACAAAATTAGCTGGCTCATGGTATGTGGTATTTGCAAAATTGGGATTATCTCACTTTAGAGCTTCATACTGAAGTCCTAGATTCATCATAGGTTTAATTTTCCTATCTACTGGTCTGAACTTAGGAACAACACAAATCATGCATTTTGGCTAAGACCCTACATTTCTGGCAAGATGGTAGAGTGGAGCATGCCCCTTTGGACTGTAGTTTGGGAATTTTTAAAAACTCTTCTAAAACACAGCAGGATGGAATGACAACCTTGGAACAGTTCACTGCAATCATGCCCATGCCATCGATGGGATCTGGACTGGGTGGAGAATGGCGGGGGGCTCTGAGCAGCAAGAAGACCACAGAAGAAGGTCCCGGGGGCTATGTGTTGGATTACCCCAATCTAGACCCATATGTGGAAGTCCTGCTTTGTTTGTTTTTTCTGTTGTGTGTGGGGGGGGAGGGGCTAATGTTTGATTTAAGTGAAAATATTATTCCACCTTGTTTTCCCCCAATTTTCTTATGTATACCAATGGAGATATTACATGCAGTCTGTAGGCAATATAACTCATCACATTCTGTTTGCCAGCCAAGAATGCCAAGCCTCCTTTCTGCCTGAGTGTTTCCCTCTTTTTCTTGCATGGATAGATTTGGTATTTTAAGATTTCAGTTGGATAAATGTAAGATGTCTCCCAAATGATCTTTACAGAACCAAAATGCTTTCATTTTTCTACCCAGAAAATACCAAATCTTGCACTGGTAATTCCTTATCTTAAATCCTAAATATATGTTCAAGTATATATTGTGTATTTTATTAATATAGTTGTCACCCAGTGAAATATGCATTTGACACCCAATTTTAATTTCAAAATTTTGTATCAGTATTTGACATTATGGGATTATCTACTACATTACCAGATTAACAGCTGATATGTAATGGTATGCCACAATTTTCCAAATGTTATTCTGTCAGAGATTACTTGATTGAACTGCTAAGGAAACTCTTTAAATTGCAAAAGATTGTGGAATATCTTTTAGAATGCATTTTCTATTCTAATGGAGGATTTAACTGTCTCCTTGTGGCAAGCAACTTGTGTTTCATAGAACTGTAAAACTGGAATCTACCATCTAGTCTAACCCTTGATGCAATGATTCTGCAGGTCTCAAGAATACTATTCTAAAGCTTATCTGATGTTATGGATATTCTCATTATTGAATTCAATGATAGGCTTCAGAAAACTCAAGCTTCAGCATAAGACACTTTGAAAATCACTGCTCATATATCATATTTGACATTTTTCATGGATAGTCTGGATTAGTACTTAACATTTTACAGTAGTCAATATTTGGCATGTGATCATATTTGACAATAACACAGTCTAACTTTAGTAACAGCATAGTATACCATGGTAATTGGTAGTTGTTTATATGGGGTATTTCACAGTTTATGAGATTTCTAATTGAAAGCATGCCAAATTCAAAACTCTGAAAAGATGCCACCATGTCTAAGTGTAATCCTATACTACATCTGAGATGTGTTTGGGGAATCCTTGATTGTTGCACTTGGGTTTTACAGGGTGACTATTTTCTACCATTCTTTGGTTCATTGTTTTATGATTTTTAAACTTTAGCTGACTACTGATTTTATTTTCTTTTGATGGAGATATATTATTTTGGGGTTTTGTTTAAAATTAATTGGTAGTCACATTGGGTACTGAAAAGGGAGATTAAAATTCTAATAATTAAATACATGTTCAACAGAAACCACATTTTATTTTAATGAGATTTGTTCTCATGTAAACAACATCAGCAGGAACTTTATCAACATTTTGCTGAGGGAGGTAGTAGAGGAAGAAAATACAGATATATGTAAAAATAACTAAGTAGAAATAGCTGTGAGTCTGGATAAGTAAATATGTGAGATCAATATAAGTTAAGCAATCACAGGTAATAATTGATTGATTTTAATCTCAAGCTACTGACTGTGGCACTGTAGTGCGCCATCAATTTTCTGCATCTGAGGAATATTTTCTCTGAGCTTACCCTGTGCTTCTCTCTGTTAGGACTATACTTAAAGGGTTCTTCATCATTCCACAATATAACTATTTACATAGCACTAATTGTGTACATAAATACTTTTGCAAATTGGGAGTGGAGTGAGATGATGTCAATTTGAATGGATTAAATGATCTAACCAAGGAAGTTAGATCTCTTTGCTCTAATGAACTCTTGTGCACAGAACAATATAGGTATTTTTCTCTTACAGATTCTTAAAGTCTTCTTCATCGAGCTTGCAATGTAATAGGCTCAGTTATAACAATTGTCCCCTTCCATAATTAATATTCTAGCAAATACAGTGGCCATTTTTTCCCAATGGCAACACCAGGGCTGGACCACAAAGGTCTGTAGGGTCCACAGTTTGGAGGGCAGCCACCAAACTTACCCCTTGACAGCTGGTAGCTCCTTCTGCTATATTCCTTTGTCCTAATTGGTCATTCCTTCCAAGGACAACATCTAATTGGTTCAGTTCTCTACTGTTCAAAATTTAAGAAACGGAAAAAACATTTCTCTTTAAAATGGTCCACTGCTATGGTGCCCCTAGTAAAAAATAAAAAGAGGGCAGCTGTGGTGGAAAAGCAACTTGTCCAGAGTTTCCACAAACCTAGCTGTGCCTCTGAGTTTGTATTATTCCATGGAATTGTATTTTCCTAATTATCTTATTCTTTTAATGGCTCAAACTGGGAGTTTGGTCTTTTTCAAAAGAGAATATCACATGAAAAACCTTTTTGAAATTGTGTTCAACTTAAATGAAACCCCAGAGGAAAATGCAGCAGTGACAGTGAGGATGGTGCCAACCTGTCTCCTTAACTCTTAACTAAAAAAAGGGCAGTCCCTCTCTGTGATTTCTAAGTAAAATGTTAGTGGTGGTGTAAGCACAATCAAGAGGTAGTGTTTTTCTAGTATCTTAGTGTGAATTTTGTATTAACAGGAATGTCAGGTGCACTGCAAAGCAGAAATCCTTGTGTGCTTTATTGCTAGAAACATCATGAAGCCATTCATCCTGTTTCACATATTGTTCTGTATTATAGAATAATGTTTTTATTCTGTCCAATAGCTGATTAACTTTATCTGGCAATGGATTATAGACTTTCAGAAACCATGATCCTACTTTGGGGCATTGATGGGTACTTACTGATAGATATGTTCCTATTCTTGAGAATAAGTAAGCATGTCAACATTTTTCAGAAGGATTCATTGCTGACAAATGGGGAATCAATGTCCCATAAACCAAATAAAGTTTTTGAAATACATGTACGAAATTTCAAGAAAAACTTTCCTAAAGTGAAGTCACTTCCTTTCCCAGTCTTAAATGCAAAACTGATCAGAGGGGAAAATAACATGTGCATTCAGGATGACATGCTAGGTTCTTGTCAGTGCTGTAGTACATGTCAAATGTTAGAAATAGGTATGAGCTTCCATTGCATTGTTGAATTTGTCTTGGTAGAGCTAAACTTAGAATGCCCCTGTACCCGTTTTCTGTACTTTAGATACAACGCATGTCTTGCCTTTGTCTTACCACTCTGTTGATTTGTGTTGTAGGCAAGCCAAATTTCATGAAAACTCCTGAGGATCAAATTGGGATTTCTGGAGGTGTGGCCTCCTTTGTATGCCAAGCAACAGGGGAGCCAAAGCCACGAATCACATGGATGAAGAAAGGAAAGAAGGTCAGTTCCCAACGATTTGAGGTAAGAACAAAACAAACATTTTTGACCATTTTGTAAGGGTGCTGTATATTGGATGGTATTAACTGTCATCAAACAGAGTGGAAAGGGCAGTTTCCCCCCTGCCCTGGACTAAGATACTTGTGACTTACCAAGTTTCCTGTCTTGGATTGCTGAATATAAAAAAAATATTTCTTATAAGAGAGTTGGTTAAATCTCATCTGAGACTTAAAACAAGATTCTCCAAGATTTTCCATTTATTATCACTATGTAATTTGGGTGATGATATTTCTCCTGATTTTGCTGTGTGTTAATTGAAATTATATGAATGTGAAGTTAATTAAGTCCTGTGTCAGTTAATTTGCAGCCCTTGCCATTAAGGAATAAATTTATAGGTGATTTCAGGTAAACTAATAAGTTCCTTTTTTGTTCGGTGGGAGAATTAAATATTTTTACCACTTAGAGAAATGGAAAAATCATGGCCCAGTTCATATAGCACATTAAAACCATAGTTAGCTTGTATGTGCTGTGCTTTGGACTTGCTTACTTCTCTTCCTTCTCTCACACCATCCTTCAGTTAACTAAAATTTTTATTTTAGCAAACAGTAGTTTACTGTGATACCAGACCAAACAAGCTATGGATTATACAAGTGATGACTTTCTTGCAAGACAGAGTTGCAAGCCACAGTTACCAGTTTGCACGCTAGGGCATGCTATGGTTTGTTCAAACGAGAAAGTGAATGAGAGGACAAGAAAGAGGAAGGAGATAGTATTCAAAATGAAGGCATTATGCTAATGGTCAAACTATGCCTCATGGCAAAGTCAATTATTTATGAAATTGTCAGTTACACCACTGATCTTTTTGTGATGGTTTTCTGACAATTGTGAAGAGTGCTGTCCTAAGAGGTTTTTAATCTTCAGCCAAGGTAATGTGATCCCTAACCTAGCATTGCCACAGTAGTTGTCATGGAAGCTATTCCTGGGGAAGTTGTGGGCTCTCCTTCACTGGACCCATTAAAAAAGCATCTGGACAGTCAACTGAATGGAATGGTGTAACTTAGTGTCTTGCAATAGCAGGGGGGTTGACCCGATGGCCTTTTGTCTACTTCTCAGTCTTCTGTTCTATGATTCTGTTATATCCTTCAAACTTGACATATCCAGATTTCAGTTTATTTTTTTTAAAGGGAAAAAATGAGAAGACATTGATTTGACCTTTAAAACCTGGATTCTTTCTTGTGTCAGATGCTTAACCATGACTAAAACTAACAAGGGATCACTATGAATCCAGATGGGAAATGAGGCTTGAAGCTTAATTTCCAAACACTTGTTGACAGCAAACTCTGGTGAGCCTTTAAGGATCAAGATGCACTGGAGAGTGGAAGAACTGGAGGACATGTACAGTCCCCTGGTCCTGTCCCCAATTTCTCAGTCATACCTAAAGAACTTGGAATATTGCATGTGCACAAGTCAATGGATGTCTTTGAACCAGTTCCAGTAAGAAGTTGGTAATAAGCTTCCTCTTCTTTTGGAAAAGGTTATTGAATTTGATGATGGGTCTGGATCAGTTCTACGCATTCAGCCTCTGCGTGTCCTTCGGGATGAAGCTATCTATGAGTGCATGGCTACCAACAGTATTGGGGAAATAAACACCAGTGCCAAACTGACTGTCTTAGAAGGTAGGTGGGATCCTTTTTAACTGCTGGGTACAACTAGACGCCAAAGCTAATTTTTCATTGTTGGAATGACTGGATTTTTCTGTTATATTTGCTCTGTTTTGATTACTGTGTTCTTTTCAGATCTAATCTCTTTTAATGTTTTATGGATAATATTAAGAACCTACACTGAAGCTCCTAGTTGGATAAGGCAACAATGTATTGCTTGGAAAAGTAGCTAATCTCATGTATATTTGAGAGGGTTTGCAGCAAGATCTGGATTTCAGTATTGTATCCATAAAGAGAAATGCATAAGGCTATGCAATGTACTGTGCTTAAAATATTCCTAACCATTCCCTATGTGCTAGTGATGCCATTGGTTTTTAATGTTAGTATTCACCTATTTTTTCTCACTTTGATATCTATAATGTGCAGATTGAAAAATTGTGCTCTGAGGAGGCGTGCCCAGGTGTGCATTCACTCAAAATGTCCTTTAGAACTCTGGAAGGCAGCTGATTCTGGACTGCCAGGCCTCAGAATCCAGACTACAGATTTCTGTCCAGGTCACTCCCTTTCCACAGGCCAAACCATAATGGCTTATCATCTGCCCCACCATGGCTTTTCAAGCGTTTTTATTTGTCAGAGGCAAGAACCCAGTGGAAGGTTACCAGACAAACAAAGGAAATTGGAAAAGCTGGCCAGAGAGCATGGTGCATAGAGTATTTAACAATATACTGGTTGTTGTGCTCCATGATCATATAGGTGGTATCCTTCTTGCTAGTGTGTATTGCTGTGTCTCTCAGGGGATTAGAGAGAGAGAGACAGAGACAGAGACAGAGAGACTGCCTGGGAGGTGAGCAAGCACATATTTAACCGACCTGCCAACTTGCTTCCTGTTTTCTCTCTTTCTCTTGTTGCCTTGGAGGCTAGAGCAGAAGAAAAGAGGAGCTAGGTAGATAGCAGAGATGCATACTCAAAGACTAGAGGAGAAAGAGAGAAGTTGCACTGGAAGTCACTAACATATGTATACATGCTATGCCTGCTTGCTGCGCTTGCACCCACTGCTGAAATGCAAACCCCAATAAATGTTGACTGAGGTAGTGACATGTTCACACAATCACAGCATGTTAATCCCACTGCAGGTGCCAACTGCATACTTGTCCATATTTCTCAAAGTACCATTACTGCTTCAGCTTGCTGTGTTGTCCAAACCCAGAGCAACATGGCTTGTCTGAGGGGGCAGCTACCCTCAAATTAAGTTGTACCAGGAATAAGTAACTAGGGAAATCTGGCCGGCACATGACTGGCACATGCAGTGAAAGAAATGAGTTACTGTGAGCTATTTTCCTCACTGTGTGATAATTCAAGCTGGCCTTGGTAGACCTTGCATAGGGGGTTCCCCACCTTAGATTCAAATTGTGAGGGGGAAGTGTTTCCACACAGCCTAAAGGATTGCCGGGTATAAGATGTATAGCCAAGTGCAGGTGTATGTTAATAGCACTGCATAGCTTTCAGTGAACACCCATTCCACTCAGTGATGCATATTTCATTGGTAGCAATGTAGTTTGATAAATAGCTTATGCTGTGGAATGCACATCTGCTTGTTAATCCAAATTTAGGCTTTGGGTTTCAGATCCAGTAAATTATATATGCCTAGGGGGCGCCTTCCATGTACAGATCTCCATAGTTGGATTAGATAAGAAAGCAGGGATAGGCAGTGAAGAAGGAAGATAAAAAGAATGTGGAAAGTATTTTACTTTGTCTTGCCTCTTCATCCTATCTGACACTTTTTGTGCTCTCCTTCTATGTTTCTTTATCTGCCCAATTATTATCATAGATGACCTGGGTATGCTGTTTTCTATAAATCTGCTATAATTTTCTATGATTGTTTAAAATGGAAAAATCTGTTTTCAGAACAAAGGATTAAACAGCTATTGTGATCATATGCATTATTAACTAGTGCAATCTTCTGGTGAAGAAAGCCTATGTTGCAATATCTAAGTTGAGAAAAAGCAATGCTGCTCCTTTTTAAAAAAGCCTTTTTTCAGATTCTTTCTTGATTGAAATATTGTGGGTCATTGATTAAATAAGGAAAAGAGTCTGTAGTTTCCCATGAATTTACAGTAGCATTAATAGGATTCTCTGAGTGCTAAAGGTTGTGTCAGGTAGTTCCTAATAGTTCACAGGCCTCATATTTAGTAATGTAATAATAATCATAAAATAATATTTATACCAACTGTTGCTCTTTAACTTATTTTACTATTACTTCTTTTCAGAGACAGTATATTTTAAAGAATTTAGAAGGCTTAACTCTATTCTGAAACTTTTGAGCTCTGAAATTAGAATATTTGCATCTACATTTCCAAGAGAACAGGCTATCCCATTTGACTTAACTGCACGATTTTAAAAAATGCATTATGATAGATAAGGAGTTAAAGCAATAACTGCCTCAATATTGGTCATTCTCTTATTGCTGAATATCAAGCATCTTTTGGCTGAAGAGAGTTTTCTTGTTTCTCATATTAGAGGTTAAAATAATCTTTGGATCATATAAAAGGTCCTGATATTTAATTTTCAAAAAGTGTCTACCTTTTTGCAACATACTATCTTTTATACACATTATTATAAATATAAGCTACAAAAATAGTCCTTATGATCTCATTATGACTGATTAGGGTTAGAAGTTAAAACTACCCAATTAGGATTTAGTTGGCTTCTGTAGAGTCATTTCATTTGGATAATATGGGAATGTGGTTTTGATTTTTGCAATGAAATATAGTGTTCTTTCTGCTTGCTAATGTATTCTGTTTGGTATATCATTATGAGGCAAACTGGAGCCAAGAATCCAAGAACAGGCAAATTTTCTGCAGCAGCTACTTCCCTGCACTATACTTCATTCTCCGCTTCCATCTCCTGACTCGAAATTCTGTTGGTGAACAGAGCTGCATACACTTAGTGTAATTGAAAATTATTTCTTCTGTTGATAGCAGGAAAGGTAGACATGCAAATACCTCTCCTTTTCTTTTTCTCTTGGGGAGCTGATAAGTTGAATAATGTATGAGTCGTATTGAGTATTTCTGTCTTTTTCAATTATTACCTGCAGCAGCAAGAAATACTTTTGCATGTTTAGCCGAGGAAGGGCAAAGCAAGCAGGAAGGGACCAGAATCAATAAACGCTCTCCCTCCCACACACACACACACGAAAAGCTGCAGGGACAGCTAGTGGACATCCAGTGTCACAAATTAATAAATATATGCTTGAGTTGTAGGGCTGGAGATTGTACCTCACATTACAGAAGATAAGAACAGAGGATGCAGCAGCATTTTCTATACTGTGTCAATGAGTGACTTACCATATTCTTCTTTTCAGCAAAGCAGGAGAATTCAATTGGGCATGACAGAGGCCAGATTGGATTAGTGTTCATTGCCCTTCTGTATAATCTGCATTCTCTCTTGGGGTCCAACAGCAATCCTGGCAAGGAAAGGAAGCTAGCTGCTTTTCTCTTAGGCACTGGAATTTATGTATTTCTTTTACAATCTTGATCTCTTGCAAGAGTATTAGTGGTGATAAACAAAGACTTTGACTATATGAACTTTAATGCAGTGTGAGTACCCTTTACACCCTTAGTAGCTTCCAGCATAGAGTGTCACATCAGGATAATGTGGAGACCAAATAAGCATAACTTAGTTCTCCTTGTTTTAAGTTATCTTAATGAGCGTTAAAATACTGTATTTTTTTCTACCTGTATTGTATTTGCATATCTGACTTGAGCATTGACTTCATATCTGAGCATATACCAGCTGAGCAATGTCTTCCCCTAGTAAATTCTGTTTATTATTTCCAGCTTCTTTGTTAAAATGTGAAGAACCATAATCTTGAAATTGAAGTCAGAATGGTTTATATTCTGACTAGGTCTGTGAGTTGTCTTTACCTAGGACAACTGCTTTATAGAAAGCAATCCAAGAGCATGTTTATAATGTTTAGCTTTGGAACCAAGCAAGAGTCTAGTGTGGGGATAAGGAAGGTAAGGCCACCTCAGTCTTTCCAAGGTTTGCTGATTACTGAACCATATCATGAGTTTAATTTCTATCACCATCTGCTGGCTTCATCCCAGTTCCTGGAGTTACCCAGTTTGAAATTCAGTAAATGATAAGCGTTTGACAGTTACAAATGATTTCTGCAGAGAGCTAAATCTCCCAAGGCCCTGGACAATATGTCCTTGTAAATGCTCATCTAACACCAGCTTCACTATTTCAACATTAAACAAAAGTTAGCTGTGTTTTAATCTTCATTTAGGCTTGGTTAGTTACTAAAGAATCAGTAAGAGCAAGGGGGTTTGGCACATGTTTATCTCATTCCCTTTTATAAATTCCTGCCAAGAATGCAGTCTTTGTTTTAAGATGAGAGTAATTAAGGGAAGAGAGGTTATATCTGAATACTGTCTCTAAGCAAAAACTAGCAAATTAACATTGTGAGTAATTTCAAACTGGTAGAGAAATTGACAGTCTTAAAGGAAAAATAGTTGTCAAATTTCTCCCTTATAATATGAAAATCTTTCAGATAAGGTCGAAACTTAATTCACACACACACATGAGATAATCCAGAAATGAAGACTACAGTTCAGCTTAAACAGCTGTTCTAAACAAGCCTTTCCATTTGTACTTGCATCAGTTTTAAAGCTTCACGAGTTACCTTTCTAACTTGAAAACATCTTCTCTTCTCAGAAAAGGTAATGTATGAAATGTCTCTTAGCTCTGTTGTATTCCAGTGATACTGCAGCACCACAAGGGTAGGCTGAAGCTTTGTATTTCAAGTATTGACCTTAACACTCATCAAAGAATCTGAGGTCTTGATACTTGCACACAAAACTCTTATTTATTGTAAATAAATAAATCTTGTTGTAAACCATCCAAAGATGCCAGTAAATAGATGGTCTATAAAAGCTTTAAATAAATAAATAAAAATTAAAAAATATACCAAATTTAGATAGTCGTATACCATAATATTGGTCCTATTTTTATGA